AAATTTAATTAATATGTGGAATGATGATCAATTCCAAAAAATAAAAAAAATAAACTTCTTATTTTAATAGCCAACTAAATAAAATTAATATTAAAATTTTCATATTAATTACTGAGGATTTTTAATTATTCCTCAAACACTGATTATTATTTATTTATTTTATTTATTTTTTTTCAAAACCAGTTCAAATACTTTATTTTAAATAAACTGAATAAATTGGATGAATTTTGGAATCAAAAAAATAAATGAAATAATTATTATAAAATTAAAAAAATTAAAAAAAATTTCTTGAAAATTTTTTTTTAAAAAATTTTTTTATTTTTTTTATTAATATATTTTATTTTTACTTTTTTTTTTTAATCATTTAATTTTGTAATAAAAACAATAAAATGAAAGCATCAACCTATAAAAAACCTAACATTTTTAAACCACCACCACCACCAAGTCCAAATAGAAATCTAATTTTTGAAAAAACCATTAAAAAAAGTTTAATTAGATTTTTGGGACACTTGGATTTAAAAACTAGAAGTATTGCAGTTCAATATATAACCACACTATCAAACAATGGTTTATTCTATTTAGATATTACCAGATTACTTTTTTCTTGCAAGGAAGCAATTGTACTTTTGTATGTATAAATGTTATTTCAAAATATCAATATCTATAATATCTTAGTACTAATATTTACAATTAAATAATAATAATAAAAATAAAAATAAAAATAACATTATTGACAATTAAGTGAATGCCAAGATGATGAATTAGAAGAAAATTTTAAAACAAAAGTTTTACCAACCTATTTTTGGGCAGGTGATGCTCCTAAAGGAAAAAATCGACCTATATGGGTAGAATATGATAGAAAGAAATGTAATAAAATTTTTAGAGCAGAATCGAAAGAAATTCCATATATTTTAGTGGACGATGAACGTTTTTTAGATATCAAAAGATTAATTCAGGTTAGATTTGATAGTCACAGCAGAGTTAGAACAGTTAAAAAGAAAGAACCAAAAACATCAATAAAAGAAAAAAATGTAGTTTATATTTGGTATTGGTTGGGTGATTTTGATGTTTCTGTAACGTAAGATTTTTTTTATTATATTTTTTTTAAAAAAGTAGTATTTTATAAACTAATAATAGTTCCAATAATTTTTATTTCTTTTAGTGACCATTCTTGGGTAAGATATAGTGATGAAATTTGTAAAAAACTTGAAGAAGGTTTCGAAACTAGAGATCCACGTGTTGATGTAGATTCAGAAAGATTTGTTGATACACGTGAAATGGTTCAAAGAAGAAAGGATGCATATTATAGACAAAGAGATGTTAGAAGAGTAAGAACAGTTGTTGGCCAAGCTCCATCAGATACCACCCTTACCAATAGTGAAATAACTAATAGTATAAATAGCTCAACTAATACAACACCGACTAAAGTAGAAAAATCACCATCTAAACCCATTCAAGATACACCAACCAAATCAATGGGATTCATTGGAAAACTATTTAATACAATTAAAATCCCAGACTCACCAACAAAAGAAACATCAAAAAATATAGCACCAATTATTTCAGAATCTGTTAAAAGCAAAAAAACTGAATTTGATCAACTATACGGTTTAAATAGGGAACAATTTAATAACTTTATCTCAATCTTACAAAATTATCTCGATCAATACCCAGAAAAAAATGAGTATAGTACTCGTAAATATAAAAAAATGGTTGGTTACAACGATTATACAACGTTATATAAAGCTCAAAATGAAATTGATTTTACTGTTCCAGAAAAAAATAGTTCCACAACTACAACTACAACAACAACAACAACAACAACTTCAACTTCAACTTCATCCTCATCCTCATCCCCATCCCCATCCTCACCAAATAAAACCCAACCACAAAAACCACCCAAAAAAGAAATCACCCAAACCTGTGCAACTATTATAAATTTAACAATTCAAACTATTACCAAAAATAATTTAAAAAATGAAAGAAAAACTGTTTATCTTTCAGAAAGAATTTAAATTAAAATAAATTTATTCTTTTTTTTCCCATATTATTCCCAGAAAATCCATATTTTTTTTGAGGAAATAAGTAAAAATTTGGAAAAAGTTTTTTTTTTAAATCATTTTTTAAATTTTGAAAGTTTTGTTTTTATCACAATACACACAACATAATTCAGTTGCACATTGAATCCATGGAATATAGATTAATTGATTCAAGTGATTTTAATTATGATATATGCAGTTTAATATCAAATAAACAAATTATCAGTAATTTAAAAGAAAGAAATGAAATAATTAATATCATTTCAAAAATATCAAATAAATTGTATATACTGTGCATAAACGATCTACTAAGATATTGTGAAGATGCATTAATAAATTTGTAGGTGATAATTATTAAATAAACAATATTGAACAATAATAATTTACTAAAATAATTTTTCTATTTAAATATTTAGTGAAGCTTTTTCTAAAGAATTAACAAAAAAAGATAAAGAAGAAATGACTATTTGGGCGTGGCAATCAAAAACTTGGGACCCAGAAAATCCTAAAGAATATAATTACTATATTAGTAAAAAAATAGAACTAGCATTTTTAAAGAAATACCAATATTTTAAAATTAGTGATATTCATTTTGTAGATTTTGTCACACTTTTTCAAAGAAGAATAGAAAATATAGACCTAAAAAGAAAAGTTACTAGAATTACATTAGAGGAAAGAAAAACAAAAGAAAAATCAAATAATGAAAATAAGAATCTTAATACTAAAAAAAATATTAAAAAAAATATTAAAACAAATAATAATATAGAAAATACAGATAATAATTTAGATATAAATAATATTATTGACAATATAGACTATATAGACAATAAAATAAATGATGATGGTGATGATGGGGATAAAAGTGAATACTATACAAAATGGTATTGGAGCAAATCAATTTTAGCCAAAAGGAAAAACAGTACCGAGTTTTCAAAATCGAATTGCAAAAAACTAGAGAATGCATTCTTATTCGGCTTATCTTGTGTTAAAATTGGTAACAATGTAATTTATTTCAAAAATATGTGCTTAAAAAAAGAAAATGAAAAGTTTTCATCATTCTATATACTAAGAAAACCAAAATTTGAACCACTAACAATTTACAACTCATTAAAAAAGGAAGAATATGAAATATTAAAATCAAAAATTGAACTATTTTTAATAATCCAACAACAATTAAAAGTAGAAAAAGAAAAAGAAGAAAAAGAAGAAAAAGAAGAAATAGAAGGAGAATCATCAACTAAAATATCGATTTCCCCATGCTTAAAAACAACTTTAGAAAATTTTATCGAATCTATTATAAATAACAATAAGAAACATGTAGCAGAAAAAAACTTTTTATAAAGTTTTTTATTTTTTTATAAAATAAATATAATTAAATTTTATTTTATTTGTTTGTTTTATTTATTTATATTATTTATTTTATTGTTTTTAGGGGTATTGGATCTTGGGTATCGACACCATTTAAAGCTTCTTGATTTTCGATATCGAATTTTTTATTTTTCTTTTTACTAACTTTTTCTTTTGATGGAATAATGTAATGACTGATATCACCAATATACAACCAATAGAGAATTACAATGGTACCGATCATTAAGAAGATTGGATCGAAAAACCATAAAATAATACACATTGCAAAATAAAATGAACGTACACCCACTGTATAATGATTTGAACCATTGATTAATGATTTGTTGCAATAATCTTTAGAACATTCCTCATAAAAAGGCGAAACATTTAAAAGGAATGCCAAGTGAGTGACATAACGAATTGAGGATGCAAAATTTAAAAATGAAAATAAAAATATAATAATGAGAATGAATGCTTTATAAATTAAGATTTCGCTATTATGTGCACCTATAATTCTAATTTTATCTAATATGGTGGTGATTGTTTGAGATACCAATATATTTATTATTAAAACTACTAATGTAATTGATGTGGAGGCCAATAAAGTTGATGACATTACCATATTACGAAGTGTTTGAACTGCCAGTATATCCTTTTTACCATCCACCATTTGTTTTGTCCATAATCTACGAAAATGATGATTTCTACCAATAACTGTATTCATTGGATTCCTCCTGACCTGTATCATTAATAATAGATGATATATTGTATAAAACCCAAAAGAAGCTGATAAAAATATAATATCAAAAAGTAATCCATCTAACATTTTTTTTTTTTTTTAATTTAAATTTTAGAATTTTATTTTTAATATTTATAAATAATGATATTATTAAAAATGAAATATAATATAATAAAAAAAATAAAATAAAAAAATGGACAAAGAATAAAAAATAAAATTTAAATTACTAATATTAGTAATTTAAAATAATAATTAAATAAATAATAAATGGAATGATAGTGAATGTGGTTTGTGGTTTGTGGTCTGGGGTTTAAAAAAAAAATTATTTAAAAAGTACTGTGTGAATGAATAAATATGAAAAAAAATGAAATAAAAAAAAAACAACTTGTTTAAAAGTATACTTTGGAAAAAATCATAAAAAAAAAAAAAAAAAAAATTTCAGTGCATAATGTGTCTTTTATTTAAATTTAAAATAAAAAAAATAAAATAAAATAAAATGAATCTTTTATCTTTTTTCAAAAGGGTATTTAATTATTGTTAAAAAATAATGAAATTTAAATTATTTTTTAATTATTTTTTTTAAAAATATTTTTTTTTATTTTTTTTTTATTTTTTTTTTAATTTTTTTGTTTTTTAATTTTTTTTTTTTTAAAAAAAACGAAGAAAACGAATTCCATAGAATTAATTCGATTGATTTATAAGTGTATTTACAACTTTTATTAATTCAATACCAAACAATAACGAAAATATAACATTATAAGGGTTTTATTTCTCTGTGTATAAATTTATTCAATTTTTCCTGGTTCATCACAAATAATATTATATATTATAATCAAATATACAAAACTATTTTTTTAAAATGCCAAAACCATTTATTCAAAATAAAAACAAACAAGTTTTAGCAACTTTTGGTGCAAGTTATAGAAATAGAAGAGGTATCGAAACTCAACATAGAGATAAAACTGTATGTATAAAACAAATAAAAAAAAAATATTAATATTGAAAACTTTATTTATTAATTTTATTTATTACTATTTTTATTACTAGATTAAAGAAGGTGATGATGGTTTCGATGATGACTTTTATGAAGGTGAAGATTATGATGAAGAATATGATGAGGAGTATGATGAAGAGTATGACGAAGAATACACTAGTGACGAGGAAGAAGATATTCAAGATGCAAATAATACAGATAAAAAATTAAAAAAACTTGAAAAGGATGACGATTTATCAATGATCGGTTTTAAAAAAGATGGTTTTGATTATTCAAGATATATGAAACCAATTGGTGGTGGTTATTTTATTCCAGCTGTATATGATGTTAATGATTTAAAAAAACATAAAGGTGGTATCCTCGATTTAGTAAAGAATAGTGAACCTGCTCCATATATGTATGGTTTAGAAGAAGTTAGCAAAGATTATAAAAAAACTGGTAAGTTTTTAATAATAAAAACTATAACTATAACTCATAAACTAATACATTTTTATTTTTCATTGTTTTTTTTTTTAAAAAATATATACAGCCAAAGAATTAGAAATCGATGATGAAGATATTAAAGATGCTTTAGAAGAAGATGTTGAAGAAAACGATTTTGAAGAATTAGATGATGATTTCATATTACAAGCTAATGGTGGTTCATTAGAAGGTTTAAATGAAGAAGTAAATGAAACTATAAAGAAATTTGGTAAATTTAGATTTAATAAAAACTATGACTTTGATGACGAGGATGAATATTATGAAGATGATTATGATGGCGATTACCAAGACGAAAGAAAAGTTGTAGATGAAGTTTTAGAAGCACAATTTGACAGAGCATTGGAAGAGTATGATGATTATGATATTGGTGAATTAGATCCAGAAGAAACCAAAGGTCAATGTGATGTTAATAATTTCGAAGATGTTTTTGATGAATTTATTGAAGACTACAATAAAAACCACGAATCTTTAATCACCCAATTAGAAATCTTGAAAAAGAATAACAGTTTTATAGCATTAACCCAAAAAGAAAAAGACATCATCCTCGCCAGGGATTGGGAAAAAGAAACATTGGTACAAGTCGAAGAAGTCGAGGAAGAAGAAGAAGATAAATGGGATTGTGAAACTATTTTAACAACTTATACCAATTTAGATAATCATCCAAAATTAATTCGTGAAGAAAATCCAAATAAAATTAGATTATCAAGAAAAACAGGTATGCCAATTGGTGTATTACCATTAAGAGGAAGAGCTGCTGCTGCTGCCGCTGCCACTGAAGAAGAAGAAGACTCAGATTCAGATTCAGATGCAGATACCAGAGTAAATCAAGGTGTATCAAGAAAGAATGAAACCAAAGAAGAAAAGAAGCTTCGTAAACAACAATTAAAAGAGGACAGAAAAAATAAAAGAGAACAAAAGAAAGATTTGAAAGTTGCCTTTAAAAAAGAAGAAATTAAACAAGTTGCTATTATTAAAGATAAAAAAACAAATCAATCTGTTACTGTTAGATATTAAAATATTTATAAAAATAAAAATATAAAAAAAATATAGAAAAAAAAAAGATTATTATAGTTTATTTATTATTACATTTATTTTTATTTATTTTTTATTTTTTAAATTTTTTTTTTAATGTTTCTTTTTTTAAAAATCAATTTATATATATATATTATTATCATTAATTTTAGTCTAGTTTTGATTGAGTTTAACATATCTAC